CTCTGTAGTTATGCTGCTATAGGCTTAGACTGCTGGACTGACCACTTTCCACACTCGACTACTTTCTTCTACAGTCTGCTCTTTAACTGTATTATTTCCTGCTATTTCAGCTGTTAACTTTATTCTTTCTCTAAGTGTTTTTCTCCCCAGAAGAAGCTACAATGATGTTTTGCTGAGCTGTGGTGGCCTCATGGAGGGGGCCATCGGCTTTAACACTGTTGCCAACCACTTAATCATTCTCCCTCCCCTGATAATAACATTTTACTTTCTTTGACATTGAATGTGCTACTACTAGTTTACCTGTTTAATTATAGATTCACTAGGATAATGTCATGATGTGGGGGAGGTGTTTAACCCAAGACATGCAGAATCAAACCCAAGACACAGAAGGGTGAGAAAAAATAAGATTCTATTTTGAAAACGAGAACTAAAGGCATACCCGAATTTCCAGCAGAACGGGAATGCAGCGTCTGGAGGGGGGAGCAGAATGAGGTGAGTCCTGAGGAGTAAGTCTAAACTGGAAGGTGCAGAGTAAAGACTTACAGGGTTGTGCGGGAATAGGGCTGAGGGTAAGGTAGTGAGCCGGGGTGTATCCAAGGAGAGTTCCAGAGCTGTAGAGGGAGTGTGGGAGCGAGAGAGTGGGTCAGTCAGGATGGATGGACGAACGTGGCAGAGCAAATCCGGAGTCCTATAGAGTTGTGGTGAGAAAATCCTGATGTGTCGAGACCAAACGGTAGCAATCATCCGGTGACGAGCTGTGTTCTCCATCCATCTAAAATAGTAGACCCACTGACTGCTGACCGGATGCAGCTGTAGCTCCTTCTTCTGCAAACACACACTCAGAGATAGGTTGGTGAGAAGACACGGAAACAGAGGTGAAGCGTCGCTGCCACCGGCATTTCAAGGTTAGGAGAGTAGCGGTATGGTGGCTGGAGAAAAGTGCCAGGCAAGGAGTTTATGCCAATTTACTCCAAGAGATAAGCTTTGAAAACCCAGAATACTTCCGACAGTACTGCCGCCTGGATCCTTTGAGAGGGTAATGGAAACAGTGGGTCCATCGATCCGCAAGCTACCGTTTTGTTTCTAGCGCTGTGCGCCAAAGCGAGGTCCGGTTGGCTCCCCAAGTTACGGAGCGGGGTCCCCATGGGGATCAATTGTGCAGAGAAGTGACGTAACAGTGCTTATGCCAATCCAATCGACAGACACCAATTTAAACAGTAAGTCACTGAAAGTTGAGTCTGGGATCAGAAGATACTCACATAGAACCTTATCTAGTAGTTTCAAAGCAAGCTGTTGGTGAAGCACTAATTTTCGCAATGATGGGACTTCCATCTCAAGCTTGGTGATGTGACATTTTACAGCTTCAATTTTGATGGAACTGACAGATGAGAAGTCCAAGTTAAAGAAAAAACCAATCGCACCAGCAACGGAAAAGAGCTCTGGAAGGAGACAATTCTCCATACGGTTAGCACCACAAAGCCCAAAATTGGTAACAGTGAATTCCTGCCCGTTCACCACAGCCATGGAATACACCTCATCAACACGCACTAACACTGCATTGGAGCAGGTGGAGGATGACTAGGGGTCTTAGCACACATCTGCTGTCGCTTCGCTTCCCGGGGCTGGAGGCTGGGGGGGGGGGGGGGGGGGGCAATCTGGCCACCTGGCTGGGGTCTGGGGTGGTGGGTTGCTTTGCTCAGCGTTGGGCGGGGGAGCCTGCTCATCAGCACCCCAGCAGAAAGGGTCGAAATCTGGGAACCGGTGATGGTTGTACCCTTTGTGCAGCAGTACTGGGAACAGAGTGAATAGGGTGTGTATGGGGAGCATGAGTGGGTGTCCGTCATGCATTTTTGTACATCTTAGGTTGTATGTGTACGTGTGAGCATGAGGGAGGGAGTGTGTGACTGTGTCTGTGTGTGACTGTATTTGTCAGGTGGGGCCATTGACTCCTCCCCCTCCTGGGACTTCTTTTGATGTTATACATCTTCTTCTCCCCTCCCCCTGCCACACCTGGTGTGGAGTATAGTGCCTTGGTCTGCATGAGTTCTCACGACTCCAGGGTCAGGGGGTTTAAGATTTTTGGAGTCTGCCTGATTGATCCCAGTGGCTGCCTGGTAGGATCTGAGTCCCTAGTATTATAACGTTGCAATCAGAGCCGTATGGAGAACCCTTAACTTACCAACATTTGTCTGCCTTCCATGGCCACTCATGTCCGTGTTCCTTGTGACATTGAAGAAAATGTAAAATCTGGAGAGGACCCCCCACCCCCACCCCCCACCCCCCCACCCCACACACACACCTGTAGGGAGTGGGTGAAGGGGGTGAATAACACAATGCTTTTGGATTAAATATAATCCCAGCAGGATTCAGCAGCTCCCTGGAGTCAAAAGTCACATTTTAGTCATCGACTTAGGAGCTGCGGCAAGAGCTGCTGGGTGGCTCCCAGGAAGGAGGCCCAACCAATTGGAGTGCAGCAGCCAGGCTGGTCGGACCCACAAGCGGATGTTGGCATGGTGACACATGGATGTTTTCTTGTCATCATTCATGTGATGTGACAGAGCGAGTTTGTGTTCTCACCATCAGCTTTTAGGTTGGTGTTACACATTTAAGCAGCAACAACCTTCCAGCTTCAGAGTGAAGCTGGCGTTCCCAAGGAGACCAGGAGAGCGTGTTGGAGAACGGCTCCAGCTCCTCAGTGGGATGTGAACGTTTGGGCAGCCTTGTTCATCTTCATGATTTTCTTTCACAAATCATTGATTGTTAACAAATAAACATTTCAGTTAAATATATCACATAGGAGACACACACAGTGATATTTGAGAAGGTAAGTGAAGTTTATAGGATTTACAGAAAGTGTGCAATAACTCTTTAAACTAAATAAGGCAGGTGCATACATTTGGGAACCACAAAAAAGAAATGAACTGAATATTTAGTAGAAACCTTTTGCAGAAACAGCAGCCTCTAAACACTTCCTATAGCTTCCAATGAGAGTCTGGATTCTGGCTGAAGGTATTCTGGAATGTTCTTCTTTACAAAACATCTCTAGTTCAGTCAGGTCTGATGGTTTCTGAGCAAGGACAGCTCTCTCTATCTCACACCACAGATGTTCATTAATATTCAGGTATGGGGACTGAGATGATTGCTCCTGAACGTTCTACTTGTTCCTCTGCAGCACCTCCTTGTGTAAAGTGCACTGATTAGTTGACCGAGGCGCAGTGACTCCATCTGCAGCTAGATGATGTTGTAGGTCTTTGGGAAGGTCTCTGGTCTGTGGGTGACTGACTGTTCTCTTCTGCTGATCTGAGATGTTTCTTGGTCTGCCACTAGGAGCCTTAACTTGAACTGTGCCTGTGGTCTTCCATTCCCTCAGTATGTACCGAACTGTGGAAGCAGACAGCTGAAATCTCTGGGACAGATTTCTGTATCCTTCACCTAAAGCTCGGGGGTTCTTCCGGTGGGCGTGACCAACCAATCTGACAGATTTGGGTCGGTCACACCCACCGGAAGAACATCCGATAAAGACGTGTCACACAAACATCGGTGACACTTCTGATGAAGGCCGCAGTCGTCAGTCAAAACAGTCACAACACGACCTTTACATGTCTGAAGCAAAAATAATCTTGGTCTAGGAAGAGGACATGTGGCAAAGGAAAGGCTGCCCAGACTTTTGCACCCCACTGTTTCCAACAGCTCCGTCATCTTTGTCGTTTGAAATCCAAAGTGCTGCGAGTCTAAATGTTAATGCACCGCTGTGCCGGAGGAACTGGTGGAGCTTCTCATTCAAATGCATGCCCCCCCCCCCCCCCCACACACACACACACACACACACTCCCAACCTGCTGGAGGTTCTAAAAGCAGCAGTGAGCTTTGTGTCTGTGACAACTGACGTCACTCTGGAAGAGAACCTCCTCTGTGAGCAGATGAATGGTCCTGCGAGCAGCCGTAGACTGTGTACAGGAAGATACGGTTGCCAAGGAAACCCTCCTGGAGAACCTTTATGCCTCCTTGATCTGTGCAAACAGCAGAAGAGGAGCGAGGAAAACAGGGACAAATCCCTGATGTTTCACACAGCAGCACCCTCTCCCTATAGCTGTGTGTGTGTGTGTGTGTGTGTGTAGGGGGGAAACAACACATCTGCACACATCACCAACATCCTTTTAGCGAATGTGTTTAACACAACCATAACCCCTATAACCAATCAGCTGGTAGAACCTCTGGTCAGAACCAAACATGGTGGAGATGCAATTAGTTACTATGCTGCTCACATATGGAATCAGCTTCCCCATGACCTCGGATGTGCCCCAACCCTCATGTACTCATCAGACTAATCTCCATGCTGCATCGTCTCCACTGTAATCTGTGTCTTCTCCTTTAGCTCTAAACTGTAATTCTATCTGTATTTTAATTTGTTTTTATGTTGTTTTCATATCATGTCCGGATGATTGTAAAGCACTGAATTGCCTCAGTGTTTGAACCGTGCTCTATAAATAAAGTTGCCTTGCCTAACTCTCAGGGGCCCTATCCATTACTGACGCCTGCTCAGCTCTTTATTGGTTTCCTGTCACACTGCTGCTGGTTAACAACTGGTCATCCACCTGTTCACCAGCGTGTCATCACCCATCTTAGCTGTTAACCAGCTGCTGCCTTTTACATCACTTAAGAAATGTAAAGAGCTCGTTTAGAGCCGATTTGTCATAAAGTAATTATCCAGTGCATTAACCAAAGTAGGCAACAACTGCAGCTGTAGAAAAGCTACATCAAAACAAAGATGCCAAAGGTAACCCGCTGCAGCGGGGGTGAGGAGCCGAGTCACTAATCTCCGAGTTTATTCTGAGCTGAAACAGGTTCCTGCCACCTTATCAATTAATTACAGTCATTAAGTGGTTAGAAAGTCACCTTACCTGTGCAAAGCTGGACATTACTGGCTGATTAAAATAAACCACGGTGAAAAAGCTGAGGTCAGAGGAGCTTTCCATGGGAACAGAGGAATGAGCAGAGTCTGAATTTTCACTTTTATTATTCAAAAATACACAAAGAAAATCTGGTTTTCACACAGGTTACAGTTAGTTAGTAGGAACATCAAAGATGGAGGAAGGAGTCACTACATCATCATGGGGGCTCCAACCTGCCCCCCACACACACAACATCCCATGACCCGTTCAACGTTGGGTTAGATACGAGTCCAGAGCTGTTAAGTTGCTAATAGAAAGCACATCAGTTACTATAGTTACGGTTTCAAAAATAAGAATCAAAGGTTAAAAACTCAGGTTCATCTAATAATTCCAGACAGATCCAGCTGAGGCAGAAAACCCAAAAGACTGCAGCTGTTAGTGTTGTTGGTGTTAGTGCGGGGACGGTGCTACTGGCAACAACTCAGGCAACGAGGTTTAGAGATAAGGCATCAGAGCTACTAGAAGGCCTTCTTCCTGCTGGCTGGTCACACCAGAGCCAAGGAGACCCGTCACATGTTTCATTTGACCTCTAGCCTTCAGACAAGTGCCCCCACCTCCCCCTAGTGCAACCACAAACACACACGCATTAGTAGTTCTGCTAAGTTGTGTGTGTGCGTGTGTGTTGGTGGATGAGTGGACCCAGACATTTGGGGGGAGGGAGATGGGGGTACACAGTCTTTATATAAACTTGGTCCAGAAGCAATGATCCAGCCAATCACAACATGGTAGTTTAAGCCACTCCTCCTCCCAAACTAGCGACTCGCTATGTTATGTGTAGTTCAAACAAACGTTGGGTAATGAAAGCATGACGTGACATCTACACACACAGCTGCACAGGGACCATACAGGAAAAGAACATGCGTGTACGTATGTACAGAATAAAACCATCGCAGGTACGATGGCATCAAAGTGTTTCTTCTTCTTTTGTATTTGATAAAAACTTCATGTGCTGCGATTCCAGTACAGCTCCCATCAGAGCCCCTCCCCCCATCGTCGGAGGAGTCTCCCATTTGTAATTAATAAAGAGCAAAGACACCCCCCCACCCGACTGGCTTGTGTCCAGGGCCCGTCTGATAGACGAGACGGTGCTAGACGATGGACCCGTCCCTGTTCTGAGCAGGGATCATCACAGGGATGGCCCCCATGCGGTTCAGGCTGGGGCCTCCCATCCTCATAGCAGAGGGCGGGGGCAGCGGGGCCTGGCTCGGGGGCCGCTCGTACTCTTCTGACGAGGGAATCTTGTCATACTGAGACTTCAGGGTGTACTCGGGCAGGTTGGAGGGAGACATGGATCCCAGGGATGAGCGCTGGCTGCCGATGGTGAAGCTGCGCGCTGTGGAGATGCGACTCTTGGGAGGAGGAACGTCCTCTCTGAGGTCAAACAGAGCAGAGCAGATGATTCAGACAACAGCAGCAGGCTCCTCGTTAGTGCCAACACCCCAGAAACAGCAAACACTCGAAGGAATCTTCCAGCTTATGTGATAAACATTAAGCCTCCCAAACAGCCTCTGCTCAGATTAAACAGATTAGCACCGCCTGATTAGCTAGTTTGTGCAGCACAAACCTGACTGATCAGAATTATAATAGATTTTCATTTTAGGGACGTCCCAAACCCATCACATGATTTTCAAAGCATTTGGAATCGGGTGGAGAACATCGGATATGTTTTCCATTCATCCTGGGCCAGAATAATAACAACAATAATATTAATAATAACAATAATAAAGATTGTTTCATGAATATAAACCTGAGGAAACTGAAAGTGAAACTTAAACATCACCCAGCGCTGTAATGGCGGCAACCGCTTCGAGGAGGGAGGATGTGCCGCTTGGCGGGTTTATGAGTCATCAAAACGTTCGTAGTGGTGTGTGTGTGTGTGTGTTGGAAGTTTGTAGTGGTGTGTGTGTGTGTGTGTTGGGAGTTTGTAGTGGGTGTGTGTGTGTGTAGGACGTGTTTGTCTAAACGTATTATTGCCAAAAAGCACAAGAAAAAGCTGAAAGACTGGGACTACAAAGAACTACAATTCACAGGAAAATGACGTCAAAGCAGATGATTGGGTGAGTGATAATCATGTGACAGTTCAAGTTGACAACGTGATGATGTTTATTCTAGCGTGTGAAGCCTGTGAGCTGCAGATCAGAACGACAGCGTCTGTCTGAATGAAACGCTTTTCTTATTTGCGCATTTTGATTGTTTTTTTACAAACTCATTAGCAGAAATACGCAGCGCTCTGGGACGTGTTCAGTGTGTAAGATTTATGTGGAACTCCTCCGGTTTAGGCAAAGAGAATCCATGTGTCACCTATGTAACGTCCAGCAATGGTCAGTTTTTAGGTACAGTTTGACCATTCAACATCTGGTCAAAAAGGAGACACAAGACTGCACGTGTTCCCTTTAAATCGGCCTGCCTTCATCCCATCAGCTGGAGCTCAGAGCCTCTCTGCAGCTCTGAACACATGATAACGACATGTCAACAATAACATTCTCTCCTCAAGGTCCAATCTTTCAGCTCTTCCTGCCTCCATTTAAGGAACACTCGCAGCTCGGATTAGTTGCTAAATCAAATGACTTCCTAAATCAAATATGAACTCCTCTGCAACTTATAATCTAGATAATCATTAAATAAACGTTTGTTTATTGCTACTTATAATAATTATAACATGAGAACATCAAAACTGGATCACTCTCGGGTGATCTGTCAGTTCCAGAGGAAGCTTCAGAACGGCCATCTGAAGCAGAACCTCTTTAACCATCAAAGCTTTAAAGACGTCATCAAAACCTTTTTGCACCTGCGAAGCTGAAACAGTTCCTGCAGAACAAGCCGATATTGTGTAGACTCCTTACGAGTCCGCCAGACGCGCGGTTCCATCCGTCTGCTGTGACCTGGAGACAACTCTAAGACGGGTTTAGTGGGGCCGCAGTTCTTCTACGGACCTCGGCGCCTGGAAGTCCGAGGACTTCGACATTACGGATCTGTCACGAGGGTCTTCGCGTCGGTATGTAGACATGACAGATTGTATGCCAAAATCATCAATATTAGAAACAATAAAAGGCTTGAACTACTTCAGTTGTGTGTAATGAATCTGATATATATGAAAGTCTAATGTTTATCAGTACATTACAGACAATAATGAACTTTATTGCAACATGCTAATTTTTTGAGAAGGACCTGTAGATCAACAGGTTATAGCTAATCCAACTCCTGATCTGCATAAAAGACTAAACGATTTGCAGATCGAATTTGACTCTCTCTCTACTGCGGATGCGGACCCCTGTTATTTTGCATACGAGCAACATATTATGAACATGGTGGTTAGCCGAGCAAGCGTTTAGCCCATCAGTTGAAGCGTCTGGTTTCTTCTCGGTTGATATCTCAGATTAAAGATGCAGCAGGCCATTAAGTTTCTGAGCCGAAGAATGTAACAGAGGCGTTTAAAAATGAATATTACTCCCTGTATGAGTCCACTGCTGATGTTTCTGAGGCAACAGTTTTTTGAACGCTCCTGCAGTATGTATGTAGCCCACTGTTAATCCTGACGTAACTGAACAATTGGATACGTCACTCAGGTTGAATGAACTTGTGCATGCAGCTAAGACCATGCACAATGGTAAGGCACCAGGCCTGGACGGGTTTTCAGTTGAATTTTTAAAACGTTTGTAGATAAATTATCTCCACTACTTTCAGCGTACGATGAATCATTTGAACGTGGTCTGCTGCCCTCTACACCACCTCAGGTCAGCTGCCCTATGAAACAGGAACAGGCAGCCACCTACTCTAGCAACTCTTCTTGGACAACTCAGTGGGATAGTTAGTGGGGCCAGAGAAGTTGCACCTTTCCTCTCCGGCAGCTGAAGCCAACAGCTCAGGCTGGTGCTAACGTAGGCGCAGCTTACCCTGGCTCTGTGGCAGCCACAGCTATCTTATGATGTGATCACAGCTCTTCTCAGATCAGGAGTTTTCATTTACACAGGAAGCAGGTCACACACGGCTTAGACTCTTTTGTTTGCTACAAAGATTTAGGAAGTGAGTTTGTAGATCCATTCAGCCGGTCCCTGCTTCATCAGACCAGCTTCATCAGACCAGCTTCATCAGACCAGCTTCATCAGACCAGAGTACGCCCTAATGGCTCCCGCCTGCTGAAGTTCAGGCATGTGTGACGGCAGCAGGAGGGAGGTAGAACATTGGAGTGCCGTGCCACAGATTGGTGAATGAGTCAGACACGTGAAGAACAACGTACACTAGTGGTTTGTTCTGACTAGCTGTTAGCTCATCGCTCCTGAAGGACGTAAACACCATTTCTCTGACCTGAGGCTGTTCAGTAATCAGTAGGATGATCATAATTCTAACTAACCTTTTTACATTACTACATAAAGAGGAGGAACACTGGGAGCGGCTCATTAGCTGATCGGGACACGTCTGCACTACCAAGTCAGCACTGTGTCCTCTGCGTCAAATTAAGAGCCAACAAGCAGCAATAATCCAGTTAAATGCTCCATCAGACCCAGCCATGGGGGCCACAGCCTGCTTGGTGCACAGCCTCACGCAGGAACCGTCCAGAGAGAGAGTGTGTGTGTGTGTGTATGTGTGTGTGTGTGTGTGTGTGTGTGTGTGTGTGTGTGTGTGTGTGTGTGAGAGAGAGAGATCTGGCTACAGGCAGACTAGCAGCAACGACCACACATTGAAGCAGAAACACCAAACATGAGACAGCAGCAGGAACCTCTACCTGATCTCGTTGCAGATTTCCTTCTCGTACTTCTTCCTTCGACGAACACGAAGCCAGCAGAAGACGAGGATGGCAACAATAAGCAGTAACAACAGCAGGGTTATTATGATGCCAGCGATCATGCCTGCTGTGTTTTGAGCTGGACAACAAAAGAGGAGAAGAGCTTTAGCTGAACTTCCTTTAGAAAGACGAGCTGAACCTAAACTACAGCAGCTTGGAGGTTTTTAGTCACTACAAAGACAAACTTCAGGTCCTTGTCAGAACCACACCGTTATGAATATGACCGTTATTAGTGGAGGGACTTTAAAGCAGTTGGGCTGGATGGGTCTAGACTTGAGTCTATCAGGTTGTTGGACAGCATTGGTCACAATTTCAGCGGGAATGGGGTCAGATAAATAGGCTCCTGAAACACTGCTGCTAGGGCTGCAACAAACGATTATTTGGATCATCGATGAATCGGATTAAACGAGTGTAACGTCATGAAGGAGCTGTTCCACCGAAGGTTATTTACCCTCTCTCTCTCCTCAGGAAGAACTAATCTGCATGAGACTGAGTCAAGGTCATGCATTTGCTTCTAAACTGTGTCTTCCTTTCCAGCTCAGGAGAAGAATGAAGACAAAGGACTCTTACTTTTAATAAATCAGAAGAACTCTGTTTTTAATAATGCTAATCAAAGTGTTAGTCCAATAATAATGTGAACCAATCTGTGAAATGACAATGTTTATGATCAGTTGTTTTTAATAAGTAATATAACTTTAAACTAGCTGCACTAGACATTCTCATCCACGTAATGCTAAGTCACATGACACATTTCCTTTTTCTGATCCAATCAGAACCTTCCAGATCTGACAGAGGCGTGGCTTTGTTGGTGCTTGGTAAATCTGTCCCTTTTTGATTTGACAGTAAATCAAAACATCCAAATTATAAAACTATGCCCACATCATCTTAACTTCAGTTTAAAGCATTCTAGAGAAGTTGTCAGAGCGGCCAATCCGTAACTTTCCTCTTAAAGCCAAAAGAACCAACGGCAAGCTGGATTAAATCTGTTGCATGTTCCACCTGCTGCAACGGTTCCTTTCAGAATAAAAGCTGAACCATCACGACCCCGTTTTGGGTCTTGCTATATGCCAATAAAACTGTCGTGACCTGGAAGTATCTCAAGACTGGTCTGGTCGGCAACCGCTGCTTTTCCTACCGGCTTCGGTTCCAGAGAAGGTCAAGCTGGACCTCGACATTCTTGATCTAACGGGGACGTCCGCTAACGGTACGTAGACCGACAGAATGGCATCTTAATGTAAGTTATAAACCTCCAAACCAAAGCTTAGAGTGAAACATCACCTTCACTCCCATCAGAACTAATGGTTTCTCTGGATTTGCTGGTTCTGAACATATTCACACATTACACCATCCTCAGTCTTACTCCACATTAGTTCATCATACACATAGTGTTTAAAGCTAGTCTAATTTTAATTTGTTCAGTAATAAATCTTTAAACTTTTAAAACTTGACTCTCTTTTGTCTGAGTTAACACAAAGTGGTTACATAATCCCTGCAATAAAAAGTTCCAATCTTCTGGTTTAAGTTATCCAAAGATCCATAAGATTGATTTCATATTTCCTACGGAATCTCACATTTTATGGTTCATTGAATAATATGTAAATTTAATCGTTACACGGGAAAATTTATATCAAATCTAACTTTATTTATAAAGCGTTTTCACAGGGAAACATCTTCTCTCTTTGCTTTACTTGAACAAAAAAACATGATTAGAAATCTGTTCAACAGCATGTAAAACAACATGCTATCACCTAAATATGTCCATAATTAAACTACGATCAGTAAAACTTCATGCATTTCATTAACATGTTCAGTAGCAGCTACTGGAGAAGATGACATTTAATTTCCACTGCTAAAAATGTAATGGTGACATATTTATTAGGTACGAGTTAGCAATAATCCAGTTTAAATTATGTTCACAGATAGACGCATTTTTGAATTGCATGCTACAGTGGCTTGCCATACATCTGCAGCGGTGTTGAACCTGATAACAGTTCTGCTGCACAGCGCTGCGGCCAGCTAAAAACAAACAGGATGGTGAGGACTTTTCTACCGCTTGTAGAGTTTAGTTGTTCTTTAGTTTCGGAACCCCACTCGATCGTGAGCCTGCTGCCCGCTAGCATTAGTTAATCTGCCCGTAGTTGTGCTTTTTATCCCAAACAGTTTCTGCCTTTGTGTCTTTGCTGGTTTCTGTTTTCCTCCACAGCACCTAGATCATCTCATGGTGCGTCAGTAAGCACCTTACCGTTCTAAGTGTGGTGTTCCTCATCAAAACACCAGCTTTCTCTCGTTCTGATCTGCCTCGGTCTGCTCTGTTCCTCCTACACGAGCGGCACACATTGACTGTCTAATAAAGGTTGCGCGACACGAAAAAAGTTGCACAACACAACGAATCGATGATGAAATGCGTTGAGAACACATTTCATCATCATTGTTGCAGCCCTAAGTCCTGCTAACAGGAGAAACATGACAGAGCTCAACACAGCACATGTGGAGGGAGGAAGATGTTCAGGAACTCACGTGGCGTCACCTTGAGAACCAGCAAACACTCGTCCGTGCCAACACGGTTGCTGGCCACGCAGCGGTAGGTGCCGGACGCACTAGTAGACACATTTCTCACATTGATGGTCCCTTCTACTGGATCTGTTAGAGGAGCAACAACAAAAGCCGGTTAGCTGAAGCACAGCCACATGCACCTGCAGGTACGTGAGGACGTGCTTACCCAACACAGCGGAGGCGGGCAGCAGCTTGCTGTCCGTGATCTTGTCCCACTTGTACTGGATGGGTTTGGTTCCTTCAGGAGTCGAGCACCGAAGCACGATGTTCTTTCCTTCCTCTGCTTGACCTTCTGTGGTGCACCTGGGTTTGGACGGCCGCACTGTGGAGAGAGAGAGAGAGAAGAGCTTAAACAAGTGGAGGAACGGAGCGGTGGTTCTGTTCACTCATGCATGTGTGTGTCTTCCTACCGCCACTCCAGCAGCAGTCATCAGTGAAACCAAAGCACTAATCAGAGTAATTGATACAGCTGCTGTCAACACAGGAGCCGTCACTCAGCATAATCACTAGTAACAAGGGAGCAGTGTGTTTGAGCACATCGGCGCTCAAGCTTCCTGAGCAAACACACATCAGTCAGACGCGCTGGGCCCCATGAGACGATCTGGATGTTCCTGAACCAACAGAGCTGCAGACGCTGGGCATGGAGGGGCAGGAAGGACCTGCGAGGGCGAACGTTTGAGGCTGAAGCATGAGCCGTCTCCACCGGCAGCGGGCTGACATCTTAGTGGAGTAATGAGTTTTGTAGCAAAAACAGCCTGGAGCGGGGTGAGCCAGGTCTGAACCAGGGGCCTAGACGGGGATTAGCAGGGGATTAGCAGACTAAGGATTCGCAGCACGGTGACGGCGCTGAGTGCTTTTATCAGAGCAAATACCGGGTAGGGACAGAGAGTGGTGCAAAAGTTAGGTGAGCAGCATCAGACAGATGGTGATGGGGGCTGGGGCCGTGTGACTCCTGACTCTGTGGCCTGCTGTTTCCACCAGACAGGCTCCGCCCACACACAGAGTCCTGCATCACACAGTAAATGTCAGACAGCCAGGGGCGTTGCACGCTTTTGTTAAGTCTGGTGGACGCAGGGCTGCCAACGCTCATACGCTGAGCATGAGACACACAATCTGACACCACAGCGTTTTATTTCCCACACTATTTCTAAGGATGAGATCCAACACACACACCTAAATGCCACCATCAGTCTGGCCTCTGTCACCCGTGCGCCGTTTGTCCCTTTCCCTTTCAGACCCGCACCTTTGCACACCGGTGTTACATCAATGGACTCCTCGGTTAGCCGTCGGTTCTGTAGTTGATGTGTGTTTCCACAACACATGCTCCACTTCGTACGAGCAGCAAAAACACACGCGTTCATCACAAGCTCGCACACCGCGCGCTCTCATCGTCCCACAGCGCTGCAGCCTCCATGAGATCAAACTTCAAACCAACACTTGGTACTCGAGGAAGCCAGATCGGGTGTAAACGTGCACCAGCAATGGTTGTGTATCAACTCAGAGGTTGTTTTTGATGTCAAAGATATTTAGCCTGTTTCTGTATTTTACTGAAAAACAAGATATAGAAAAAAACATTATAATAAAAACAAACAGTAAACAAAACATAGATGAAGCTGAAGTTTGTTCCCTTTTTTAGTTTCTGAGTCAGAAAAGGCATCGTTTCCACCAGTGAGTGGGTGGGCGGTGCCATGTCTCCTGCGAGCTAATGCTGCAGCGCCCACTTTTGTAATTTGACAATGGCCGGCAAAAAGCTCCAGAGTTGTTTAAAGTGGTTGCAGTAACCACATTTTACCACATGATGCCATTTTTTACTTCTTTTCTACATAATGCATCTTTAAATGTGTTTCTATTCTTTTACAAGAGGCTGTGGTTGTTGGATGATGTGCCTAGCCTAAGGGGACCAGGCTAAACACAGATGTGCAGCAGCACTCCTGCTGGATGCCACGGCCATCGGACGTGATGTTGTTGGTTAAGTCGGTGGTTCTGAAGAGAAGACGGCCCCACATGGCCGATCTCACCTCTCTAACTGCAGAAGAGGAGCTCCAGATAAAAGTTCCACAAAGCAGTCCTCTTTCATGGGTTTTAGGTCATGTAAAGCTTTCAATTACTATTTTAAATTTTCTCAACACAAATAACAGATAAATGAAGACAAAACTCATAAAATCAACTCCTTTAAGCTGTCAGTTATTTTTTCCTCTCTCCCCGTGTCCTGTCTGGCTGTAAAGCAACCAGAGCTGATGTCTGAGTACCGAAGACAAGCCTCAGTTTAACTCTCACAGGTAGAGCATTAACCTCCACCTGATATCTAAACTTTATTAGAGATGCGTTTGGTTGTTGTTAATCCCAACAAACACGGAGACGGAGATGAAAGAGAATGGAGGAGAGGAAAGGGAGAGATGGGGGAGAGTTCACAAAAATAAACAATAAAGGACAAACAAGAACCTGCGTTTATATCTGCAGAAAGAAAGACAAAAACATCCAACAGAACCAGAACATCACTAACAGTTCTGATGGATGGTTTGTTGTTCTTGTCATCCGGACTTAGTTCTAGTTGTTCTCTCTCACCCTCTAGCTGAATTATATTGACACTATATACGAATTACACAAACACTTCAGTTGTTATCTATAAGATTTATATTGTATATATTGTTTATTAAATTGGCTGAGCAGTATTTTCTGCTTCTCTATCATATATTAAGTGTTTTTTTTTAAATACCTGCTATAGATGTCACACACTTGCCGTATAAACTTTTTAAAATTATTTAGATTCTCATTGTTTTACTGATTTTTAGTGATCGATCCTTTTTTCTACACGTTTTGACATTAAGCTCTGGACAAGAGGAACATGTGTACCCACAGCAAACCCACTGTGATCAAAAATGCTAAAACATGTTCTGCATCAGAGCTACATGCGTCAAGTTGGCAGAGAATACCGGTTCAGAATTCAAGGAGTTATGGTTCATTTAACATACTGACACTTCCATGCCCCTGTCGGGGGGGGGGGGGGGGGGGGGAGGACAACGACGCTCAACCGATCCAAGATGGTGGCGCCACCGCTCGTCAGCGCCCATAGGCAATAGCGGCCACGCAGGGTCCATCTATGTCTACGGTTGGAAGGATTCTCTTTGGTGTTTCTAAACCCGACAGCTGTATTCAGTGTGAATTAAAAGTAAAATCTAAAATAAAACTTAGCTGAGTGAAATTAAAAATGAGCCTTAAGAACCGCTGGTAACTGGCAGCATGCTGCTAATGCTAGCAGAATGCTAACTCTTTGCAAACTTTACAGACCGTCTTAAACTCAACCGTGTGTTTGCTTAACATATTAGTGATGAACACATTAGCTTATAAGTTAAATTGTTTTCCTCTGTGGGAGTCGGAGAATTTCACTCAGCGTGGAGGAGAGAGGAGAGGAGAGAAGGGGAGAGGAAAAGGGAAGGGGCCAGAGGAGACAAGAGGAGACCAAGGGACTCCAAGCTGCATTAATATTCCAGTGTTAAATTATTCTGTTGATATTACTCACACACGTCCTACCCACAGCATTCTTTATCTTAACACTAATGACAGAGAAAAATAACCATTGTGACTAAAGACAACAACACATGTAAATCAGACCCCATGGCCGCAGGTCTGCTGAGCTCCTACTTATTTATTCAGCTCATTTCAACTTAATTCAACTCATTAAACCCTAAAGGACATTTTTAGTGTTACAGTCTAAATCATCATAAAATTCTATATTTTCAAATAGTCATAAAAATAAATGTAATACAATAAAATACAACAGTGATCATAATTTGTTGCTGCTGGTACTGACCATGAGGACTCCCTGGGGAACATCTAATTCTCAGAAAGGAATTTCAGACTGGGCTGAGATGTTTTTCTAAGCTTGAATTACTAAAATATACAAATACATAATCAATGCACCAAAAAAGTCCTTTCCCCATCAGCACCTGGTGGTAACATCTCTGTTGGTTGTGCTGCAGTAGTTTGCTTTTCCAGGTCAACACACCTGTCAGAAAAAACCTTAAGGTGATACTAGATTTCTGCCATCCTGGTTTTATTTTGTAAGGATTACTAAGTGGAAACTAGAGCAATAGCTGACCTCAGGGCAGCTCTCCACACTGATCCACCGGCTTGGATAACGTTGGAGCTAGCTGCTCTAGATCCACCATGTTCCCAAACCCAAATGTAGCTTTCAACCGAATTTGTATTTACCTGGCATGACTTCCACAGCTTTGTGTATGTATGTGTGTGTGTGTGTGTGTGTGTGTGTGTGTGGATGTGTGTGTGTGTGCACTTGTCTTTATGGGTTTGTGTGGACCAACCCCTGATGGGAGACCAACATTGTGTGGACATTCACCATTGTGTGGACATTTACCCGGTCCACACAACCAAAATCCTAGAGGAAGCTTCCTTTGTCCCACCTAGAGTTAAACATAATTTTTGCACCATTCTGACTATAGTGGAAGTCAGGGTCCACACAAACAACTCAGAAAACGTAGTCCACACAAACCCATAAAAACACGTGTGTGTGTGTGTGTGTGTGTGTGTGTGTGTGTGGTGTGTGTATGTATGTGTGTGTGTGTGTGTCACCCAAAGGTTGGTTCACTGGTTGCTGAGTCAGCTGCAGCAAAAATAAACGATGACATCACTTCTTGATGTTCACTTAGACCTGTTTTGGGGTATGCCAGTCCCTTCTTAGTGCACGTACCACTTCTACAGAGGAAAGCAGCCCTTTTCAGAGGCCTGAGTTCTCGTTCCCCAGGAGGAGGTGTTCCAAACAGGGATCCCAGGACAGCACACACACTGGTACTTCACATGTCGGCTGTCTTCCCTCATATGCAAACGACAGGCGGGTTTCGGGAGGTGATTCACTTTAGACACGATTTAAGTGGTTGACTGATCAGCAAGCGTGTGAGTGCATTTGCCTAGGGAGTGAATCATGTGACTTATACAACTCTGATGTGTCACCCATGTCCCCCTGTGGGAAAAAGCTAGGGGCCTTCATTTCCTGTTGGTTTGTCCACAAAGATGAAACAAAATGCTAGCAGCGCTGCCAATGCTCACGCATGTTTGTACATGAGTTAGAAATGCATGTAGGGCTCAGATGTTTTGCTGCAGCTGTGAACACCATCATTCACAACAACTGGGACCAGGAAACTGAATAAAATACAGCTAGTCACTAGCCTCTTTAATAACCACTTTGCTGCAAAGCCGAGGCAGCATCAGGGAGCCTTTGACCGTTCCTAAGTGGTCAGTCTGTGGTGGCATTAACGGCAGGGCTCTTACACGTTTCCCACAGACAAATTCAAGCACTCATCAAGCATTTTCAAGGTAAACTTTTCAAGCACCATACGGCAAAAACAAAACAATAGATAAGGACTCGAGGACATTTTCACCTCACCTCACATTTATATTGATGATCCTATCCAATCACAGAATCGAAAACCTGGCGTGATCACCTGACTTTAAATGAATGGAATCAGGTGAAAAAGATCAGATATAACCTTATAAAGCAACTAGCATGACCTTTTTAATTCATCCTTAAACAGACATTTTCAAACATAGTTTAATCCTGTCTAACTTCTAATCTGTCACCTAAAACCAAACACCCCGCTCTCCCATTTCACATCCACAACTCGGACAACAACACACAACCAGTCGACACAGAGACACTAAAGACCAAAGACAAACTGCCTACGAACAGCAAAAACTCAGCCAAGATAGCAGTAAATGAATCACACTGGATGACTCTGTGGGTGAAACGGTGCGTCTCCTGAAGCCGCGGTATGAGCTGCTTCCCCATCACTGTTTTACACATCCAGCACTAAAGGTGCTGTGCAGGGAAGAGTTACCACTCATTACTGAAATCATCGATTCAAACACTTCCTCCATCTGCAGACCCATTAAATGATAAAACATAAATACTTATACTTCATTAACAAATACATTTTCAGGCATTGTATTTCTGCTAGTAAACATTTGCAGTTTATATCTATTTTTAATTATGACGAGTACGAATATGATCTGAACTGAGATTAATTATACTGTTGCTATGGTAAAATAGGAATTAATAGCAGGTTTGGTTGTTGATTTAATGGTAAAATGGCTTGCCATTGGGGTCAGGTCCATGCTTCAGCTCACAGACAGATGCCATGAACGACGAGGTGCTTCATGAACTTACTGGTGTTTCTATGTTTATTGGCACAATCTGAACACAAGTGTTCCATTGAGCTCTGGGGCTGTTTACCTTCACAAGATGCAGCCAAAACTTTTATTTTTTGGTATTAATTCACAAACTTTGAGCTGTTTTGTAAACAAAGTTTGTGATTGAGAAAGCAGCCGATGTCTGACTTGAACTGCAGCAGCGAGAGGAGCTGGGCTTTGCCGTTTATTACAGGTCAAGTACCAAAATTTTGCACAGGAAATGATATTGCTTAGTTTGTTTTTTTCTGTACCCCCTCTATTCCAGCCTTGATTTCATAACTAATTATCACAGATGGACCTGCTGGATGGCAGACCCAAAACCGGCATGAAGATTTCATAGCAAAGTCAGAGGACACCACTCACCAGAGTCATTTCCTGCCTAAACCCCGTCGGGTTGAATTTAATGTTCCCCATAGACCTGGAATATCCCTGAGCACCATAATACAGCCGTTTTGGAAGCATCAATAAACATTTATGACCATCTTACTCTGTGCCTCCACCTTCGACCACTTCTTATGTTTAATTTTTCTCTTTTCATGTTCGCTGTAATCACTCTGCCACTCTTATAGCAGCAACAATACAGTACCCATTTTTCTGTGTCTGCACCTCACCCACTAATACATTTATTTCAGTCTCAGAAAAATGTGCTTTGTAGACCTCTTAGTTGCCACGATGACCTGTGAAATGCCACAGATCAGTTGGCTTATTTATTTGCAGAATATTGAGACAGTTGACCATTTATGGAAGAAAGTGGGCGTGGCAGGAGGTTGGATGTGAACCACAAACACCCAAGTACATTTCTACGAAGAGTGAATAAAGCAGGAACTGTGTGCTGCTGGCTGTAAGCACTGTTTTATAGGTCAGACCAGCGTTTGCCTAAGCAAATATTGTTTGCTGAGATCAAGTAAAGATTATACACTATGTTTCATTAAAAAAAGCTCTTGGGTATGTTTCCATTTGGAGACCCCACGTTGGATAACAGCTGAACATCCAAGCATAAAGTCATCAGTGAGGCCTTTAAGGGAAGGTGGTACTTAGAGGAATCCTCCCCAGATTCACAGTGAAACACCCATTTCCCTGTTGTGCACTGTAAAAAAAAGTGTGAAAAAAGTTCCATATTTCTTACCTGAATATTGTAAATTGATATATCAAAATACATCTTATCCCTCCCAAGAAACCACCCTGTTTGTCTTTCAATTAAACTAAATAGGAAACATGAATGGAAACATCTCAGACCCTAAGACTTGGGTCAAAGTTGGAGATCTTGAGAACTTTTGACAACACAGCAGTTGTATGATTGTTTCACACAATCATCGCTCATATTCAGGCTGGAGGGGGTGCCACACCCTAGTGTGTCACTGTAGTCACTTGATCATTGTGTGCGAATGTTCAGTGGTTGATTATTCTAGTGTCAGGTCCACTCACCCATAACAATCAGCTGCATTTTCCTGCTGCTGATGCCAGGAGCCTTCTTCACCTTACACTGGTAGGTGCCCGAGTCTGACGACTTCAGCATGCTGAGGTTGATGGAGGCATCACCGTTCTTGGGGTCGGGTGTGCTGAAGTGAACCCGATCCTTCATGGGGGGGTAGTAGTTCTCGTATACTCTGTCACCAGAGTACAGGATCACCTGGTCATGAAAAATGAGCTAAATTAAGCATTATCCATAAAAAGGTAAGGTCACTATTAGGGGAGTGCCGATTCACCATTTAATCAATGCATCGCAATGTGACACATGCAGACTCTAAATCAATTCACAAACGCTCATAATATAGTATAAATAAATGCTGAAAAACTGCTGCAAAATATGGTTGGAACACAAGCTACGCATGCTGCATAGACACTTTTGTGGGGTGGACCAGCGGAAAAAACAAAACCGCAATGGCGGAGGTTTTTATTTATGCTTCAGCCACTAAGCTTGAGATTTACTCGTCAGGAGGATTAAAGGAAAGTTGTGTAAACTAAAATAAAATGCAACAGTAACACTAACGACATGCAACAGCACCTTACACGTTTCCGTCCCAGGTCAGATAAAGAGAAGAAGCCGGTGATTGTTCCTCCCACTAGCTTTCCATACCTTGAAAACACGTTAAGAGTATTTCCAAGGATTTCAAGCACCCGTACAAACCCTGTCTTGCACATTTCATTGCAAAACCTCAGATCAAAAAGGTTTTTGGATTTGCACTGCTGAAATTTTAACCCTCAGGCTTCACTTTTATTTACTATACACACGAGTCTTTAGAGGATAAAAACATCCGCTTGGAAACGTGGTAAGGATATATAGTTAACCAATAACTGCTGTTTAACTGTTCAGCTGATGGCCTGGTCTACCACTACAACAGCAACCTCTCCACCCTTTGGAATAACCATGCCCCTCTGAAAACCAGATCTGTTTCATTCACCCGCTCGTCACCATGGTTCACCCCTGCTCTCCGTCAGCTCACAGCTAAAGGATGTGAACTGGAAAGACTTCACAATAGAACTGGACTTACCATACACAAAGAAATGTACTCCAATCATATAATGCTCTACAAGGACCATCTCTCATCAGCTAAATCTGCCTATTATTCTGGTTTAATTTACTCTAATCAAGATAACTCAAAAGCTCTTTTTTCTCTCTTGAACAATGTCACAAAACCTCCCAACTCCCTCCCCCAACATATGCAATCCACTGACTTCTGTAACTCCCTCATGTCCTTTGTTTCAAAGGTCACCGACATCCATCAACATCTAGCTTCTCACAGTGCTTCTGTCTCCAAAGTGGACATCACTATCCCCTCCCCACATCACTCAACTACATTTTCCACCTTCTTCCTTCACTCAGTCCATGACATCACAAAACGTATCCCCAAATCCAAACCCTCCACCTGTCAGCTCGATCCACTCCCTACAGTTCTTGTTAAAACCTGCCTCTCTTCTCTTGCTCCACTCATAACCAACATTATTCATTGTTCTTTAAGCTCTGGCATTGTTCCTTCAACCTTCAAAACTGCAATAGTTACTCCTCTTCTGAAGAAACCTGGCCTAGACCCCACAAACTTCAATAACCTATGCCCTATTTCCAATCTACCCTTCATCTCCAAAATTCTTGAAAAATCTGTTGCCTCTCAACTTCAGGACCACCTCATCACCAATAACATCTATGAACAATTTCAATCTGGCTTCCGTCCTCTTTACAGCACTGAAACAGCACTTCTCAAAATCACCAACGACCTTCTCACTGCTTCTGACTCTGGTTTATTGTCCATTCTCATTCTTCTCGATCTCACAGCAGCATTTGACACCATCGCCCATAGCACTCTCGTCAGCAGACTGTCACCCATAGGTATCACTCACACTCCCCTTGCCTGGTTCACCTCCTACTTCTCTGGCCGTACACAGTTCGTTCATCTGAAGTCATATAAATCCAATCTCTTTCCTGTTTCTGCTGGTGTGCCCCAGGGCTCTGTCCTGGAGCCCCTTCTTTTCATCATTTACCTTCTCCCACTAGGTCACATTTTCTGTAAACACAACATTCATTTTCATTGTTACGAGGATGACGCCCAGCTGTACCTCTCAACCAAACCCTCAACTTCACTTCCACCCTCCTCCCTTACCCTCTGTCTCCAAGAAATCCAATCTTGGTTTTCATCCAACTTCCTCAAACTGAACAGTTCAAAAACTGAAGTCCTCCTGGTAGGCACACCTCATATTCTCTCCAAATCTAACAGTTTCCTCACCTCTATTGATAACTCAGCAGTTACCCCCTCCCCTCGTGTTTAGAGTCTGGGTGTCATCCTCGACAGCACTCTTTCTTTTCAATCTCACATCAACAATATTACCCGGTCTGCTTATTTTCAGTTGTGTAACTTCTCCCGTCTCCGTCCATCACTTACTCCCTCCACTACTGCCATCCTTGTCCACGGCCTCGTCACATCTGGGATTGATTATTGCAACTCACTTCTCTTTGGCCTCCCAAGCAAATCCCTCCATAAACTGCAGCTTCTCCAGAATGCTGCAGCACGTGTCATCACTAGGTCTTCATCTCATCACATCACCCCCATCCTGCAACAACTTCATTGGCTGCCCATTGAACAAAGAATTAGTTTCAAAATTCTGCTCATAACCTGGCTCCATCCTACATTTATGATCTCATTCACATCACCACTCCTGTTCGCACTCTTCGTTCCTCTACTGCTCCTCAACTTTCGGCTCAGCCACTCTGCTCCCCGCCTCTGGAATTCTCTGCCCCCTGATCTACGCACCACTCACTTTCTCGCACTTTTTAAATCAAAACTCAAAACCCACCTCTTCAAACAAGCTTTTACCACATAGTTTTAATACATTGTTTTAAATTTTAGCATCCTAGTATTTTTACATATTTCTGTACTGTTTATCTTGTTTTATTATTTTTTTCCCCATTGTTGAAAAGTGTCCTTGGGTGTCTTGAAAGGCGCTGTCAAATAAAATGTATTATTATTATTATTATTAGTATTATTATTATTATTATTTCAACTGGGTAAACTAGTCTTCCCGGTCAACTGCTTCAAGTCCTTCTGGGGCGCTGGGTGCAATATATGAAGACATTTTGGAAAATATGCATCCCTAAGAAGTGGCTATAAAAATGTATACATTCGTATATTTTTTTGGGCTTTTTTTCCCCATAGATCTGTTAAACAACATCAACCCTGCTCAAACATATACATTTTTATTCATTAAGATGCTTTTAACCCTTGAAATGCCAGTTTGAATACTCAAAGTCATTGCTGTAATTTATGAAAGAAAAAAAAACACAAGAACTGAGTTACTGTCTAAAAAACATGTATTTTTTGCATGGGGCATTTATTACAAATCAGTTTTGATTATTTTATGAAATATCTAAAATTTTGAAGTTTTTTGCATTTATACTTTTTACATAGCAACAAATTTACAATTTACTATACACTCGAGCCATCAGAGGACAAAAACGTCCACTTTTAAAACTGCTTTAAAAATGGCCCAGATTAGGGCCGGACGATAATTCAATAGTTCAATATATCTATAGATAGACATGTGGTGCAATAGGAAAAAAAATGGGTTGATCAAACTTCGATAAGAAAGTTTCCTTTTTTCATTATAACCTATCAGGTAGCAGCTTATTAGACTCACTACTTACTCCTGCCCAATCAAAACCACAGACTCGTCACGCTACTTCACCAGGCCCTCCCTGTTCAAGCCAAAACAGAGCATGAGGCAGCCAGATGTCTCAGCGAGAACAGGTGGAGAAAAAATAAAAATATCAAAAATAAAATGGCCAGGGCTGCACGTGAAATACATTTTCTATAAATTTTAAAATATCTTTCAATTACTACAGATATTGATCAATATACTTTTTTTCTATATCATCCAGACCTAGTCCAGATTAATATTTTTTCTGCTTTTCGGGTCTAAATATTGTGATCAACTTCAGTTCTGATCAAAACAATCAACTACTGAATATTTATCTAAAATTTAACCCTTTAAATGCCAGTTTGATTATGTGATGCTCATGTTTTCATGAAAAAAGAAGATATATTTTACATAAAACTAATTTTGAGTGACTGAAATATTTGTTTTAAGTCAGCCTCGGGTATGTCAAGAATGTGACAAAATATCACATTTTCTGTGACCATTTACAACTAAATCCCATAGAGGTCATCTTTGGTCATCAAAGATGGTTTTCTGTTTATTTGGCATCAATCAAACGTTGCATGGGTATTCTACAGCCAAAAGGCTGTAAGTGGGTGAAGCTAAAGTGATTTGAACAAGTGAGCACATACATCTGTTGATTGCAGTTGAGTGATGATTCCACCCATGTTTGATATAGTTTGGAGTTTTTTTGTAGAAGTTGCAAAGGTTTTATTGTATCTAGGGAGCACTGTCCCAAATTTAGGAAAATATCCCATGGAGCAGGTTGTAGGTTGACAACAAACATTTGCGTGTAGTTTGTTGTGAATAGCATTATGCATGAGTTATTCAGAGCCTAATATCTGTCAGGGGCCGGAGCTAAAGCGATATCAACCAATGACCACAGGACTGTGTTGAGTGCCGTTGTGTGATGACACATAGCAAAACTCGGTGCAGTTGTGACCTTTGTAACCTGTAACATGTTTTGTAATTGTGACTTTAGTTTTGTAGCATGTTATTCAAATTTAGTAACACGTAACTTTCCTTTTGTAATGCTTAACTTTTGTGTTGTAACAAGTAACTATTTTTTTAGCATGTAATTCACATATTGTAACATTTAACTTTGGAACGTAACATGAAACTTCTATTTTGTAACTTGTAGAAAAAAAATATCACTGTACAAGTCTCAAATCACAACTTTCAAAACACAAATAGTCTACAGTTACAAAACTCAAGTCTACAAGTACAAAGCATTTTGTCCCAATTCTAGCTTGCTTCCAACAGGAATCCAAGACTCATGATTGGCTGGTCAGACATGGCCTGTTATTGGTTCTTTGGGAAGGAAGGTAGAATTGGGACAAAATGTTTTATACTTGTACACTTGAGTTTTGTAACTGTTGACTGCGATGTGTGTTTTGAGAGTTGTGATTTGAAACTTGTACATTATTTGTTTTCTGCAAGTTACAAAACGAAAGTGTCATGTTACATATCAAATGTTGCGTGTTA